TGTGTGTGTGTGTGTGTGTGTGTGTGTGTGTGTGAGAGAGAGAGAGAGAGAGGGAGGGGGAGGAGGGAGAGGAGAGAGGGAAGACGGGCGTGGCTGTGCGTCCCTGGGTGCCCTCCGGCCCCTCTGTGCCTGGAGCGCACCCCTTTGGACCCTGAGGAGCCCAGTGAGCGCATGATCAGCATGTCAGCGGCACCAGCGGGCGGTGGTTCCTGTGGGCATCTGTCCTCGTTCCTGTGTGCTCCCTGAGATCCTGCTTCTGTAGGAATCTCCTGCTTTTGACCAAGAAAAGGGGGTCAGGCTTTGGGGGAGGCTGAGAGCCACGGCAGGAGTGGGGGGGCATGGGCACAGTGCTATGAGGGCACGGGCTTCTGTCAGTGAGCGGCCACTCTGCCTGGGAGCGGGCGGGACGGGGTTTGAGGGTGCTGCCCGGCGCCCCCATGTGCTGAGGACAGCTTCCTGCAGGGTCCGGTGCCCACAGCTGAGGACAGCCTCCTGCGGGGCCCGGTGCCCCACACACAGCTGAGGACAGCCTCCTGCGGGGCCCGGTGCCCACGCTGAGGACAGCCTCCTGCGGGGCCCGGTGCCCACGGCTGAGGACAGCCTCCTGCGGGGTCCAGTGCCCACAGCTGACAGCCTCCTGCGGGGCCCGGTGCCCACGCTGAGGACAGCCTTCGAAGCGGCTGCAGTTTGGGTTGGCTGCCCGCCTGTGTCCAGCTGTGAGTCTCTGCCTCTCACTCCGGAGGGCCAGGGCCTGGGCCCAGCTGGGCAGAGTCTGCAGCACGGGGGTGCCAACGGTGCCTGCTGGCCGGCGCTCCGCTCCCTGGCTCCGGAGGGTGCTCCAGGCTGATGGGCAGCATGGGAGTCGGGAAGGGTGGCACAGAGCAGGGGAGGGTCTGCAGCCACATCTAGATTCTTATCTGGGGGAGACGAAGCAGGGGGAGAGCTGGTGCCAACAGCCATGGGCCCGCCGGCCGGCCGGGCAGTGTGCCTCTCCAGAAGGATGCCCACCACTGGCATCGCCTCCCCTCCCGCTGCCCCATCCTGTGGTGCCACCGGCAAGTACATTCCACCTGACCCTGCCTCCGTAGCCTGCTCCCTGCAGCCATGTCTCACTGCGGCTCCTCTGTTTTCTTCATTACACTCAGCAAATGGCCGCTGGGCCTGCAGCCCGCAGCCGTACCTGACCGCACCCTGGGCCTCCTCCTGAGCCGGCAGGGCTGAGGGCAGAGCCTGCGATGGTGCCTCAGGCCCAGGCCCCCTGGCGGTGCCGCCCCTCACCAGCCGCTCGGTGTCTGGCCCTCCGGGTCTGCCCAGGGGGGTCTTCCTGCTGGAATGTTTCCTCACCCACAGCCTCCACCGGACAACGCGCCCGTTTCCAGGCTGAGCGTGGGCACTGCTGTGGGAGTCCCTGCGCAGGTGCCCAGACCGATGCGGTGCCTGTGGTCCCTCCACCCCGCTCTCTGCCCTCCTCCCGCGCTCTCACCGGGACCTGCCTGACCCCCTCGCCGGGCTGGAGGAGCCTGAGCCGCCGCCCAGCCCTGCAGGCACGGCCTGGTGCACACTGCTCCGTACGCGTGTGTCCTAGGGCCTGGCCCACATGGCTCCATTGGTTGGAGCATCATAATGGGCACCGGAAGGTTGTAGGTTCGATTCCTGGTCAGGGCATGGACCCAGGTGGTGGGTTTGATCCCTAGTCTGGGCACACTTAAGAGGTGACTGACTGCTGTGTCTCTGTCACATTGATGTCTCTCTCTCCCCCATGGTCCCCCTCTTAAAATCAATTTAAAAGTCTGTAATATGGATGGATCCGTATACAAATAGGTAACGGGGCGGGCAGGTGTGTGAGCAGTGAGAGCTGGAAGAATGGACGGTGGCTGGCGGACTCACTCGCCTGGCAGGCACAGGGGCGGAGTCAGCACCCGGCACCTCCTGCCCAGGGAGCAGGGGCTGTCCTGGGAAACCCCACTGGCTGCCCTAGAGACCTCCGCAGCTTCCCAGTCTGAGAGCAGCGCCGGCACTCCGCAGCCCCTGGAGGAGGAAGAGGCTCTGGGAGAGAGGGCAGGCGCGCCCTCGGCCGCGGCCATGGCAGAGGGGGCTGGGCACTGGGGAGAGGCAGGGTGGCGGGGAGGTGAGCTCAGGCCTGGTGGGGGAGCCTTGGGGAGAAGAAGCTCAGCGTGCTGCTGGCTCAGGGTGGTGATGGCAGAGGGGCCACCTCAGCCCCAGGGTCCCACGTCTGGGCTTGCTTCCTCCATTTGCCCAGGCCCTCACCCGGCAGAAAGTGCCCGGGCAGGTGGCTGGAGGCCGCAGGAGCGGTCCTCCAGGAGCGGGCACAGGGCTGGAGAGCCGCAGCGGCCCGGGCTGTGCGCCCCCGTGTGGCCTGCCCCTGGCAGCAGCGGCCTGGGCAGCTCCCAGGAGCAGGGGGAGGCGCTGCTGGCCGGCAGCTGCCGGGCCGGGGAGGGGAGGAGAGGGGAGCAGGACTCCGGCAGAAGGGTTTCTGGTCCTGTGAGCCCCTCCAGCACATGCAGGAGACCGAGGCTGCTTTGCCCAAGGCCACCCCGAAAGCTGGCTCAGGACCACCCCGAACGCAGTGCCTGCTTCTGCACAGTCTTCTGCCCCCATCCAGCCAAGGGGCTGAGCCGCAGTAAGACACAAACTTCTCCACGCTGTCAGCACAGGGACATGATCTGCCACCCAAGGATATGGCTCAGTGGATAGAGCGTCGGCCTGCAGACTGAAGGGTCCCGGGTTCGATTCCGGTCAAGGGCATGTACCTTGGGTGAGGGCACATCCCCAGTAGGGGGTGTTGCAAGAGGCAGCTGGTTGATGTTTCTTTCTCATCGATGTTTCTAGCTCTCTATCCCTCTCCCTTCCTCTCTGTAAAACAGTCAATAAAATATAAGAAAAGAAAACCATAGAGTGTAGTGATTTAAAAGCCTGGCCTGGGGCCTGAGTGCCTGGGCGTGGTTCCGCTCTGCCATTGACAGCCGTGTGACCTGGGATGAGTGATTTAACCGCTCCAGCCTCAGTTTCCTCATCTGGAATACAGTGCCTCCTCGTGGTCTGTGTTGATGAGGGTGAGTTCATGTATGTGCTTGGAACGGCGCCGTGTGCAGGAGTGTGTGGCCTGTGTTTGCCTATGGGAGTAGGTGTGAGCTCACGTGTGAGTGTGCGTGAGTGTGAGGGCGTCGGTGCACAGCAGCGTGTGTGAGTGAGTTAGCGAGCAGATGAGTGTGTGTGGTGCAGTGTCTCTAAGTGCGCTGTGTGAACCGAACACACACGAGCATGTGCTGGGCGTACAGGGAGGAGAGAGTGGTGAGGGTGTGTGCGCGGTGTGGGGTGGGAGCGTTTTCCACACGCAGGTGTGTGTGTGTGAGCCTGTGTCAGGGGCTCCGGAGCCTCCGCAGGACAGGTCCGGGCTGAGAGGCTGGGTTTGGGCTCTGACGCTGGTTTTTCCAAAAGTGACTTCACCGTCACGTCCTCCTGGCCCAGCCGGTCCCTCGGGGGTGGGGATGGGAGTGGGGGAGAAGCCCGATGGCTGCGGGGGACCAGTGGGCACAGGGGTGAAATAAAGACTGAATTAACTCAGCCCCACAGCTCCAGCTCCTGATGCCAGGACCATCCTGCCCGCCCCTCCCTGTCCGCTCCCTTCTCACCGGAGTCACCCCTCAGCCCCAGCACCAACCTGTCCACCTGCAGGGCGGGGCCGGCTCGCTGTGGCCTCTCCTTTCCCAGGAGCCTGGGTGGCTCAGGGCCCACGGAGAGCCTGCGTGGGCCCTCACCGTGTTAGCAAGCACGGTGCTTCCTTCCCTGCCAGGCGGCGAGGCCAGGAGGGGGACGCGGGGGGGCGAGGCCGGTGCGGGGGACGCTGGGGAGGGGCGAGGCCGGTGTGGGGGACGCTGGGGAGGGGCGAGGCCGGTGTGGGGGACGCCGGGGGGGGGGGGCGCGAGGCCGTGCGGGGGACGCAGCCCTGGTCCCGCTGGGCAGGGTTGCCCACAGGCAGGCACTGGCCGTGGCTCGGCCAGGTGACCCAGAGCTCTTCCTCCATGTCAGAGGGAGCTCAGCAGGAGCTGCCACAGGAATTGGCGTTTGCCATGAATTTTCAAAGGAGAATTTACATAATCTTTACAAGGTTGAATTTGGTAAGAACCTATACTTATTGTGTAGAAACATTAACCGAGTTTCCTGTTTTGGTCACCCTGATGTTCCAGAACCTAGCTCAGTGCTTGGCACTTCCTGGTGTACAAATGCCTGCTGGCTCCGAGGCACCGAGACCAGCTCTGCCTTCACAGAAGGCAGTGCGGCCGCAGTTCTGAGAGGACATGATGGCTGTCCCCGGAGGACACAGTGGTGGCCGTCCCCGGAGGACACGGTGGTGGCCGTCCCCGGAGGACACGGTGGTGGCGGTCTCCTCTCTCCGGAGGACACGGTGGTGGCCGTCCCCGGAGGACACGGTGGTGGCGGTCCCCGGAGGACACGGTGGTGGCGGTCTCCTCTCTGGAGGACACGGTGGTGGCGGTCTCCTCTCTGGAGGACACGGTGGTGGCCGTCTCCTCTTTGGAGGACACGGTGGTGGCCGTCCCTGGAGGACACGGTGGTGGCCGTCCCCGGAGGACACGGTGGTGGCGGTCTCCTTCCCGGAGGACACGGTGGCGGCAGCAGACACTGGGTTAAGCGGGCACTACCTTGATCTTGACGTTTCCTTTCTGCAGTTTAGAATCATTTTTTCATCAGGTTTCTGATAGACCCTCCCTTCCCCCAGCTGGTGGGCAGAGATGACGTGACCTGCGGCCTGGACGTACCTGAGCACCTGACCAGGCACCTTATACGGACTGTGCACTGAACCACCACCAGCCCCTGCCAGATGCCTGAGCCCTGCCCCTGTCGGACCGCACATGAAGCCGCCAATCGGCGCATGCTGAGCACTCTAAGCCCCACCCCCACCCCTCCCCCCGAGAGGCGCGTTACTCCGCACGGGCTGCTGCTCTCCCCTGTGAGGCAGCCGGCAGCCCATTCCCTGGTAAAGCCTGCACCCTGGTTTTCGGCTCCCGATTGGTTTCTGTTCCAGCTTCCTCTGGGGAGAGGAAGCGCTCACAGGCCTGTGGACAGAGGACACAGGGGCCGTCCCCGCCTGACCGCCACAGCAGCCTCCTGGACAGGGTTCTCCTGGGAGCCCGGGGCAGCCCAGGCCTCCCTCCAGGGGCACAGGCTCCCAGCAGGGGCTCTGCCCTCACCGCTGCCCGCTCTCCCTGTGCCCACAGTGAGCCCTCCAGGTGCCTGGCCTGGGCTGGGGCTCTGCTGAGCCTCCCCCTGCCCTGTCCTTCCACCCTGCTGTCCACGCAGCAGCCAGAGCGGCCAGGCTGCTCCCTGGGGGTGTGATCGGCCCGCACGTGGGCCGGAGCCGGGCGGCGCCGTCTTCTCTGGAAGTCCCCGCGGTGTGAGCTCGGAGTGTGTGTTTCCAGTGAGGTCTGATGGGAAAATGGAGCAAGCACCCTCCCCCTTCTGCCCTTATCTTTTCCGTCTCCATGGTGACTCACCACTGCCTGCTGCCTGCATCCCAGCCTCTGCCAGGGACTCAGAGCCCGGCCGGTCCCTCCCTCCGCTGGGCTTGTTCCCGCACCCTGCCTCCTCCCCGGCGAGTCCAGAGACAGCTCCTCTTTCCACCGACCTCACATCCAGTTCTCAGCTCTGGCTTGGCTCCTCGACCACCCCCTCCGCCCTCCGCCTGCCTCGCGCTGCCCATCCATCCCTACGCGGCCTCACCGTCTCTGGGCCTCTGCCCTCGGCCTCCGGACCAGCCCCACGCCCAGCCGCCCATGCCCAGGCCCGCCTTCTCACTCATTTCCTTTTGTCACCGGTTTGGCAAACAGGCAAGTCCTCTCCTAAGACATGGGGGAAGGAGTGGGGTGGGACGGGGCTCCCTGGAGACGGGGTGGAGCGCAGGGGGCGATGGCGAGGCCGTGAAAACCCCGGAGGGAGAGGGACCTGGGTGCTTCTCTGAATAACGGTTCTGTTGTTACTTCCCCGCCAAACTCCTCGCCAAGGAGAGAAAGCAGAGCCTCATGGGAAACAGCGGCAACAGTTGGTAAGCCGCGGGCCTGCTGGTGTGGGTGTGGGCCTGGGCCGGCTGTCCGGGCAGGAGCTCTGGGTTGGACCTGCCGGATCCGGAGCAGGTGCTGCCAGAAATGGCGGTGCTGCAGAGAGGCGATTGGAGCTCCAGAAGGGGAGTGTGGGGCACCTGAGAACCAGGCCTCGCCCCACCACTGTGGCTCCCCTAGGAGTCCCCCTCGGGGGTCAGGAGACTGCAGAGGGCTCACTCCTGAGGCGGCCCTGACTCCTCCCTGGAGCCCAAGTGCTAGGTGGGGTGCAGGCGCTAGGTGGGGTGGGGTGCAGGCGCTTATGCGGTGCAGGCGCTGGGAGGAGTGGGGTGCAGATGATGGGTGGGGTACAGGCACTGATGGGGTGCAGGCGCTGGGTGGGGTGCAGGAGCAGTGCCCAGAGCACCATCGCATCAGCTCACTCCGATGGCCCCGGTGGCCGGTGCTGTCGCCTGCTGGACGATGCGGGAGCAGCCGGATGGGGGTGGGAATTGGGGGTGACGGGGGGGGGGGGGGGGGGGTTTGCCCTGCCCAGGAGGCACTCGGCCTGGCAGAGCCAAGCTCTCACCCTCAGGCCGCTCTGTTGCCCGCGGTCCTGACCCTGAGTCCCTGCCCCCCATGCGGCTCTCAGATGACCCGTCTGCACCCCCCCAGGTCCCTCACGCCGCCCCCCAGGCTGGAGCGGGGCCTGGGGTCCGGGCCCGGGGCGCCCCGGGAGCCGCCCGCCTGCACCCTCTGCTCGGAGAGGCCCCCGCGGGACCGGTGCCCCCCGCGCCGCAGGGGTCGGCGGAGGGGCCTGCGGGGCCTGGAGGAGAAGATGGGGCGCCTGCTGCGGAGGCCGCCGCCCGCCCTGCAGGTGGGCCGGGCCCTGGGGGGGCTGGGGGGCGGGAGCCGGTCGGGCGTGGGGGCTGCAGCCTGTTCCTGGGGTCGGTGCGAAGTGGGGAATGGATGCGCTCAGCGGGGGATCTGCTCCGGGGTGTCCGCTCCGCGGGGGGGTCCGCTCCGGGGTCTGCTCCGGGGTCCTCTTGGGTGTCTGCTCCCCGGGGGGGCCTCCCGGGGGTCCGCTCCGGGGGTTCCTCTCGGGGGTCTGCTCCAGGGGTCCTCTCTGGGGTCCTCCCGGGGGTCCGCTCCGGGGGTTCCTCTCGGGGTCCGCTCCGGGGTGGGGGTCCGCTCCAGTGTCCTCTCCGGGGGTCCGCTCCGGGCCCCTCCGCCTGGGGCACTGACCGGCCTCTCCCGCAGGAGCGCGGCGCGGGGCCGGAGCCGCTGCTGCTGGCGCGCGTGGGCGCGGGGGGCGGCCCGCTGCTCAGGATGGGCGCCGTGAGCCGCGGCCTGAAGCACCCGCTGGCCCGCGACACGCCCGTCTGCCTGCTCGCCGTGCTGGGCGCGCCGCGCCCCGGGAAGGCCCTGCTCCTCCGCAGCCTGCTGCAGGCGCTGCCCGGCCCGGTGGGCGCAGGGCCGGGGCTGGGGCGCCGGGGCTGGGGGCCGGGGTGGGCGCGGGGCCGGGGCCGGGGTGGGCGCGGGGCCGGGGCCGGGGGGCCGGGGGGCCAGGACAGGGGCCGGGGAGCCGGGGGGGGGGGGCACGGGGCCTGGGGGCCTGGGGTGTAGGGTCGCGGCTTCGGGCGGAGCGGCTGGGCGCACCCTGACGCCCTCCTCTGTCGGCAGGAGGCAGAGGGCTGGCCGAGCGGAGAGGGCGCCCTGCCGGGGTGCAGATGGGGCGCCGACAGCCCGGACAGGGGCGTGCGCATGTGGAGCCAGCCCTTCCTGCTGGGGAAGGAGGGCCAGCAGGTGAGGGAGGCCGGGGGTCCAGGAGGGGAGGGGAGGGGAGAGGAGGGGAGAGGAAGGGGGAGATGGGGTGCAGGCGCTGGGTGGGGTGCAGGCGTTGGGAGGAAGGGAGGCAGGCTGCCCTCAGTCTGACCCTGGCACAGGTGGCTGTGTTTCTGGTGGACACTGGGGACGCCATGAGCCCGGAGCTGAGCCCGGAGACCAGGACCAAGCTGTGCGCCCTCATCATGATGCTGAGCTCCTATCAGGTGAGGCGCGGGGGGCCCGGGCCCTGGCACCCCGCTGGGTCCGGCCCTCAGAGCCGGGGCCGTCACAGAGCCAGGCTTTGTGCACAGGGTCTCTGCGGATTCGGGGGTGCCCTGCCAGGAAAGGATGCCCCCCGATGGTGAAGGTGGGAGCATTGCTTGTTCTGAAGGAGGCTGAAGTCCTGGGGCAGTTGCAGTTCAGGGTCATCCCTCCTGCCTCCCCCCCCCCCGCCCCCAACCCCCGCAGGCTGCGCAGACCCCCGGGCTGGGCCTCCAAGGCCCCGAGACCCACAGCCAGACCGGAGGCTCCCCCTCCGGGGGCTCCCTGGCCCTCTGCCCTGGCAGGCCCTCTCCATGTGCCCCCTGTTCCAGATCCTCCACACGTCCCGGGAGCTGGAGGACACCGACCTCGAGTGCCTGGAGGTGAGGGCACACCGGTGTTGGCCCCGCCGCCCCTGCCCGGCCATGAGGCTAGAGGGCTGGGCCAGCCGGAACCAGGCGCCTCCAGTTCTGACCCGGCCTCCCAGGGTCTGCAGGCGTGGCGGGTTCGAGGCAGAGGTGGGAGGGCGGAGGCTGGGAGCGTGCTGTGGGCCCCGGGGACGGAGACGCGGAGCTGGCGTGGCCCAGCTGTGCCCTCGTTGCCTCCAGATGTTTGTCCACGTGGCTGAGGTGATGGGCAGGCACTACGGGATGGTGCCCATCCAGGTGAGACCTGCTCTGGACTCGTCACGCAGCCCCGGGCCCGCGCGTCGGCTGCTGGCGTCAGGAGCCCTTCTCTTCCAGCGCCTGGACCTCCTCGTCCGAGACTCACCCCACCCCAGCCCGGCCGGGCGGGGGCCCGTGGGGGACGCCCTCCCGGTGAGTGCGGAGGGAGGGGTGCGGGGCGGCGGCAGAGGCGAGGGTCCCGTATGGCAGCCAGGGGGGGCGGACCCCGGCACAGCCATGCCCTCCGTCTCTCAGAGATCTGGCAAGTACCCCCGGGTCCGGGAGCTGCTGCGAGGGAGGCAGGCCCGCCGCTGCCTCCTGCCTGCGCCGAGGCCACCGCGGGCCGGCAGAGGCCGCGGGAGCCCGGGCGGTGAGTGTCCGGGCGGCAGAGGCCCCAGCCGCCCTCCTCGTGACCGGCCCCCTCACTGCCAGTGCCCCCCGCCTCGGAGCCCCCTCCTCCCGCAGCCCGTCCTCAGCGAGCGTCCCCGCAGGCCCAGAGGACGCCGCCTGCCCGCTGCGGGCCTACGTCGCCGAGGTGCTGAGCGCGGCCCCCCAGCTCGCCAAGAGCCGCAGCCAGGGCTCCGGGAGCGAGGGGCGCCCCGCGGCCCGGGGGGACGGGCGCCTGCTCACCGGGCAGCAGCTGGCTCAGGAAATCAAGGTGCGACATCTCCCCAAAGACCGGGACAGGCCCGCCCTCCCTCCCCGACGCCCTCATATTTCCCATATTCCCCAGAACCTCTCGGGCTGGATGGGGCGGCCGGGGCCCGGCTTCGGCTCTCCGGAGGAGGTACGGAGCTCCCTGGGGGCCGGGAGGCGGGGGCGGGGGGGCGGGGGCGGAGGAAGGAGAGGCAGCTGGCCTTCCTGTGGACAGATGGCCGCCCAGCTGCAGGACCTGCGGACGGTGGAGGCCGCCAAGCAGGAGTTCAAGGAGTTCGTGCGGCAGCAGGTGAGGCAGCCTGCGGGGGGCGGGGTGTCCCCGGAGGCGGGCCCTGGGGAGGCCCTCAGGTCCGCTGCTCAGGGAGCCCTCTCTCCCCACAGGACGCGGCCACCAAGCGCATCTTCTCGGCGCTCCGGGTGCTGCCGGACACCATGAGGAGCCTGCTGTCGGCGCAGAAGGACGCCGTCCTGGCCCGCCACGCTGCGGCCCTGCGGAGCCCGGGGAGGGCGCGGGCCCTGGAGGCGCTGGAGGCCGAGCTGCAGGCCCAGGCCCGCGCCTTCATGGACGCCTACACCGTGCGCTTCTGCGGGCACCTGGCCGCCGTGGGCGGGGCCCTGGGCGCCGGGCTCATGGGCCTGGCGGGCGGCGTGGTGGCCGCCGGAGCCGCGGTGGGGGCCACGGGGGCCGCCGTGGTGGGGGGTGGCGTGGGCGCGGGGCTGGCTGCCGCCCTGGGCTGCCTGGAGGGGGAGGAGGAGGAGCGGCTGCAGGCGGGGGACCGAGAGCCGCTGCTCGGGGCGGAGTGACGGGCCCCAGACAGGAAGAGGAGGGAGGGCGGAGGCGGGAGGGAGGAGGCGGGAGGGAAGGGGGGTTCCCAGGACCCCCGTGGCCCACCCGCCTGAGTGAGTGCCAGATCCGGGTGGCTGGCTGAGCTGAAGAACCCGGGGCCCAGGAGGGGTCCGGGGCAGGAGCAGGCTGGGTGGTGAGCGGGAGGAAGGGGCTGTTTCGGTTGCAGCATTGCTCACTGGCCATTGGCCCAGATAAGCCTGCCCCGTGTCCCACGCTGTTTGCTCTGGTTCACCCCGGCGGCTGGAAGCTGCGCGAGCTGGACCTCCGGGGCTGGGGGGAGGGCTTGTCCTTTCAGATGGGGCGGCCTGGTTCAGTGACCTGGTGAGCAGTATCGGGGAGCACTGAAGGGGGGCTGGGGAGGAGAGAGCAGGGAGGCCCCGTGTCGGGGGCAGTGGAGAAGCCTGTCCCGGGCCTGCTCCCAAGCTGCCAGCAGGACCGGGGGGGTCCCCACTCCTGACCCCCGGGGCGTCGGCAGCGGGCCCGGCGGAGGCCTCCGGGCTGTGCCCTGTCCACACCGCTCAGGTGCCGCGTGCGGATGCCATCCCGGCGCCGGGCTGATGGGCCCCCGAGACCACGTCCGCGCTGGACAGATGGCCGGCAGCCTCTGCGAGTCCTCACGCTCCGGCCAGGAGCACGCCTCTCCTTGCCCACCGGCCTCGGGAGGACCCTCTGCTCCGAGCCAGCAGGAGGCCTGGTGCAGCCCCACGGGAGCCCGAGGGCCCGGCCCTCCGGCGCCAGGAGGTCCCACAGGAAGACTTGCTTTTGACTGTAAAAAGCCGATGGGTACGTTATACACAAATAAAACGTGTGCTTGGACGTTCGCTTCCCAGACAGTCGGAGAAACGGCTCTCCAGCCCCAGGGGCGTGGGCAGGAGGAGTGACCGAGCTCCATTCGGGCCTCCTGGGCGGGAGGAGGCGCGGACGTGAAGAGATCTGGGCGCTGCGCGTCCGAGGCCCCGCGGGGGAGGGGGCTGTGGGGCTCAGGCCACAGACCTGTCCGCTCGGACGGGGTCTTGCTCCCTGCTCTCTGCGCTCCGTCCGGGTGGCCGCCGCCTGTCCTGGCAGGGGACAGGGATTGTGGGAAGGCCTTGCCAACGCGGTGGAGGGGGCGGCCCAGGCCACTCTGTGGGGCCAGGCGGGTCAGAGTCGCTGCAGGGCCCGGACCGCCTTTCACAGATGCAAACGCAGAGAGAGGAAGTTTCAGCTGAGGCTCCCCAGCTGCTGGCAGCAAAGCAGGGCCCGCTCCAGCTCTCCCCCCAAAAGCCTGACCCCCGCTGGAGTTCCTCACACGCAGCCCGTGGTGCTGGCATTGAGATGCTCCTCTTTGGTGATCTTCCCCCACCCCAGCCCGGCTCTAAGGGGTGGTGCCGTGCGTGTGTGTGTGTGTGTGTGTGTGTGGCGCAGAGGCAGAGGTCGCCATGTCACTGTGTGTGTGTGTGTGTGTGTGTGTGTGTGGCGCAGAGGCAGAGGTCACCGTGTGTGTGTGTGTGTGTGTGTGTGTGTGTGTGTATGGCAGAGGCAGAGGTCACCGTGTGTGTGTGTGTGTGTGTGTGTGTGTGGCGCAGAGGCAGAGGTCACCGTGTGTGTGTGTGTGTGTGTGTGTGTGTGTATGGCAGAGGCAGAGGTCACCGTGTGTGTGTGTGTGTGTGTGTGTGTGTGTATGGCAGAGGCAGAGGTCACCGTGTGTGTGTGTGTGTGTGTGTGTGTGGCGCAGAGGCAGAGGTCGCCGTGTCAGTGTGTGTGTGTGTGTGTGTGTGTGTGTGTGTGTGGTGCAGAGGCAGAGGTCGCCGTGTGTGTGTGTGTGTGTGTGTGTGTGTGGCACAGAGGCAGAGGTCGCCGTGTGTGTGTGTGTGTGTGTGTGTGTGTGGCACAGAGGCAGAGGTCGCCGTGTCAGTGTGTGTGTGTGTGTGTGTGTGTGTGTGTGTGTGGCGCAGAGGCAGAGGTCGCCGTGTGTGTGTGTGTGTGTGTGTGTGTGGTGCAGAGGCAGAGGTCGTCGTGTGTGTGTGTGTGTGTGTGTGTGTGGTGCAGAGGCAGAGGTCGCCGTGTGTGTGTGTGTGTGTGTGGCACAGAGGCAGAGGTCGCCGTGTCAGTGTGTGTGTGTGTGTGTGTGTGTGTGTGCGGCACAGAGGCAGAGGTCGCCATGTCACTGTGTGTCTGTGTGTGTGTGTGTGTGGCGCAGAGGCAGAGGTCGCCATGTCACTGTGTGTGTGTGTGTGTGTGTGTGTGTGTGGCGCAGAGGCAGAGGTCACCGTGCGTGTGTGTGTGTGTGTGTGTGTGTGTGGCGCAGAGGCAGAGGTCACCGTGTGTGTGTGTGTGTGTGTGTGTGTGTGTATGGCAGAGGCAGAGGTCACCGTGTGTGTGTGTGTGTGTGTGTGTGTGTGGCGCAGAGGCAGAGGTCACCGTGTGTGTGTGTGTGTGTGTGTGTGTGTGTGTATGGCAGAGGCAGAGGTCACCGTGTGTGTGTGTGTGTGTGTGTGTGTGTGTGTATGGCAGAGGCAGAGGTCACCGTGTGTGTGTGTGTGTGTGTGTGTGTGGCGCAGAGGCAGAGGTCGCCGTGTCAGTGTGTGTGTGTGTGTGTGTGTGTGTGTGTGTGTGGTGCAGAGGCAGAGGTCGCCGTGTGTGTGTGTGTGTGTGTGTGTGTGTGTGGCACAGAGGCAGAGGTCGCCGTGTGTGTGTGTGTGTGTGTGTGTGTGTGTGGCACAGAGGCAGAGGTCGCCGTGTCAGTGTGTGTGTGTGTGTGTGTGTGTGTGTGTGTGGCGCAGAGGCAGAGGTCGCCGTGTGTGTGTGTGTGTGTGTGTGTGTGGTGCAGAGGCAGAGGTCGTCGTGTGTGTGTGTGTGTGTGTGTGTGTGTGGTGCAGAGGCAGAGGTCGCCGTGTGTGTGTGTGTGTGTGTGGCACAGAGGCAGAGGTCGCCGTGTCAGTGTGTGTCTGTGTGTGTGTGTGTGTGGCGCAGAGGCAGAGGTCGCCATGTCACTGTGTGTGTGTGTGTGTGTGTGTGTGCGGCACAGAGGCAGAGGTCGCCATGTCACTGTGTGTCTGTGTGTGTGTGTGTGTGGCGCAGAGGCAGAGGTCGCCATGTCACTGTGTGTGTGTGTGTGTGTGTGTGTGTGTGTGGTGCAGAGGCAGAGGTCGCCGTGTGTGTGTGTGTGTGTGTGTGGCACAGAGGCAGAGGTCGCCGTGTCAGTGTGTGTGTGTGTGTGTGTGTGTGTGGCGCAGAGGCAGAGGTCGCCGTGTCAGTGTGTGTGTGTGTGTGTGTGTGTGTGTGTGTGGCGCAGAGGCAGAGGTCGCCGTGTGTGTGTGTGTGTGTGTGTGTGTGTGTGTGGCGCAGAGGCAGAGGTCGCCGTGTGTGTGTGTGTGTGTGTGTGTGTGTGTGTGTGTGTGCGGCACAGAGGCAGAGGTCGCCGTGTGTGTGTGTGTGTGTGTGTGTGTGTGTGTGTGTGGCGCAGAGGCAGAGGTCGCGGTGGGGAACACGCGGCTCAGCGGCAGAGGCTGCAGTTGGTAAGACGGGGGAAATAGGGCCAGGGAGTAGGACGGGGGTGAGGACGAAGGGCCAAGGAGCATCTTCTGAGGACGGAGCCCATGGGACGGGCCCACAGTGTGTGAGGAACTTGTTAAGAAAGGTTTCGTGACAGCATTTCGTCAGTCTTTCCCTCTGGCGGACACAAGAGCTACAAACCTCCCAGACCTTGGGGTGCAGAGTTAGGACTTGGGGTGTGGGCGGCATTAGGAGGAGCCGCCCAGGCAGGGTGCTGTGTTCAGCCAGAGTCCACCCAGTGGCGCTGGAAGGAACTGCAGCGGCTGATCCCGCCCTTTGGCAGGGGACACGTGGGGGTCTCCCTGCAGAGGCAAGAGGAAGTGTATTAAGTGCTATTTGTCTTCTGCCTTTCTTCTCTTAATTCTCTTAATTCTCACCTGAGGCCAGTTTTCATTGACTTTTAGAGAGAGTGATGTACCCTGTTTCCCCGAAAATAAGACAGTGTCTTATATTAATTTTGCTCCCAAAGATGTGCTAGGTCTTATTTCCAGGGGATGTCTTATTTTTCCATGAAGAAGAATACGGTACACATTTATTGTTAAGTGAAAATAAAGGAAATTTATTACCTGTATACAGTACGATAGTACGGTAGTTGTCAACACAAACCAGACAAACTGTGAATCCTACAGTATCAAGAATTTACTCATTTATTCAATGACAATCATGTCATCATCTTCTGGAACATCATCATAGCAATCCAATTCCTGAATTTCCTGGTGAATTTCTTGTGACTCCATTTCTTTCAGAATCAGTGGACCAAATCTCTCATGTTTAGCCTGGGGGGGGGCCTTATTTTTTGGGGGGATGCCTTATATTTCACTCAGAAGGAAACCTGTAAATAGGTCTTATTTTTGGAGGATGTCTTGTTTTCGGGGAAACACGGTAGGGGGGGAGAGAGACACCCACACACAGAGATACATCTACGAGAGACACTCACACATACAGAGATACATCTCTGAGACACACACACACAGAGACAGATACATCTATGAGAGAGAGACACACACCAATTGGTTGACGCACACAGGCCCTGACAGCGGCTGGGAGAAGAACCTGCAACCCAAGAATGTGCCCTTGATCTGCAATCAAACCAGAGCCTTTGGTGTGTGGGCCCGATGCCCTACCAGTGGGCCACACTGGCCAGGGCTGTGCCTCATAGCTTTCAAAGCATTTCCCCAAACATTATCTCTCCTGAGCCTCAAAACCATCTCATGCAGTTTGTACTTATTTTTTACATATGTTTTTTTTTTTTTTTTTGATTTTAGAGAGAGAAGGAGAGAGAAACATCAATTGGCTGCCTCCTGCACACCCCCTACTCGGGATGGAGCCCACAACCCAAGCATGTGCCTTAATGGGAATCGAACTGGCAACCTCTTAGGGCATGGGAAGATGCTCAACCAGCTGAGCCACGCCAGCCAGGGCTAGAGTGCTGATTTTTACAGAAGCTCAGGGAATGATGTGATCAGGTGAAACAACTAATCCAAGATAGGCCGGGACTTGAACCCAGCTTTTCTGGTGCCAAATTCCTCGCTCAAGTGAGCCATCTCCCACCAGTCCGTCCGGGCTCCAAGACCCGGCCCCTTGGTCCCGATCCAAGCAGGGGAATCCCTGGCTTCCGGTATGGATTCACAGGAGCCTTCGCGACGCTGTCCAAGGTCCCAGCCACAGCTGACGTCTGGCTGGTTTCCCGGACCTGTGGGAGGCCCTGCCACGGACCTGAAGATTCGTGTGTGACAGGTTCCTGGGCTAGAGAGCTGGTGACTTACGTCCAATCCCTGCCTCCGAGGGCGCGCCTGGGGAAGACAGCAGGGCCACAGCACGAAGGACGCAGCCCTGCTTGGACGGAGTGCTTGGTTCACGCCGAACTCAGTCCTCGCTGGGGTGGATGAGGTGGTGCGGCCTTTGGGGTGATTAGGCCATGAGGGCGGGGCCCCCATGAGTGGGATTAGCGCTTCCACCACACGAGGACTTGGTCATCATGAGCTGGGAAGCGTCTCTCATCAGCTCTGTCAGCAGCGATGTTGGCGGCCGAATGGCACCAGGTGTTATCAGCGAAGTCAGGCCTCTGTTCTTTTTTTTTTTTCTTTTAATCTTTATTGTTGAAAATATTACATTTTTTCAAAAAAAATCTTTATTGTTAAAAATATTACAGATGTTGTTCTTTTAAAAAAATCTTTATTGTTGAAAATATTACAGATGTTGCCCCCCCTTTTTTTTGGACCTGCAAATAAAGAATCCAAAGCCAGGAACTCAAATTATAAAAGGAAGTTTAATTAGA